AACATGTTTAACTGATAAAAAAATAATCAATAGACTTTGAAAAACCTCACTGCGTAATTTTAGAAAACAGGGGCAAGATGATCTGTATTTAGCACAAGAGCACTTCTAGCTAGGCTTCACTTGTGCATATAATACACACACCTACCATGGGAAAGATGGCAGAGCCTGTGCTTCATGTGAAGAACTTCTCTATAATACTGAAAGATATCTGACAAGCAGATTTATTATAAAATATTATTAAAATAATCAATGCTTTAAAAACAATTGAAGGCAATGACCAACATCTGTTTCTTTAGTTTGACTTTAAAGACTTAATATATTCATAGTTATGAATAGCAACAGGAAGGAAGTTGCACAAACTGAAACATAATAGTTCAAGGCTTTTCCTCCCAGAGATTCAGGGTGCATATCAACTCAAACAAGAAGGTAGAATTTGGCTTCATAAAACTGTATAAAACCAAGATACTCAGATATTGTTTTGCATCAGCAGGAGAAATTCAGTATGTTAAAAGACCTGCTCAGTAGGGAATTACTTCTCCAAAACTGGCCTTCAAGGCAAAATTTAAATCCCCCCAGAGAGCTGGCAGAGGATTTGTTACAAACTTCTTCTAACGTCCTAAAAATTTACACTTTTTTTATAATTTCTAATATTGTACTATTTGATGGAGGAACATCAGGATTTTTTTCCATTTTTTTGCCCTTATTTATCACATATCTTTAAAGCATACTGGCTAGTACTATCTAGACTCTGACTAAAGTATAAAAGAAAGCATCTTAAATTTTTTTCACCTGATAAGGGTCAGGCAATCCCACATGCGAAACAGGTCATTAGATTAAAGATTCAGAGACCAACAGAAACTGAGAGGCTAGAAAGCTATAGATGTATGAGTCACAGAAGAAAAACAGGAATGAGAAAGTCTCCCATAGACATGATCCACATGACTAGTCTGGCAGTTGTACGCACTTCTAGATGCAATATTTAAACATGTACCAGTACCCATAAAGATAATTAATATCTTTAGTAATCACTAGCAATTATTTTATATATGTAAAATGTGTATTTGCATATATAAACATATTCATGTATCTGAAATTAGATTCTGGGGAAAGGTTTTAACTTTGTTCCTCTAGGTTATCCTCACTTTAAAGCTTTTTTTCTCCATTATTAACACACACATTTTTCATGAAACACCTTGCAGTTCAGCTTGGAATTTATGACTTGATTGATACACGAAAATATGTTATTTATAATATGAAATAAATCAGATTAAAGTAAAACAAATTTAAGTCAATAGGTGCTGCTTCTGGCTAGTATTCTTTCCCTGGACTTAAAGCCTTTTATTTACTGAGGGCTAAGTTTTCCATCACTGAGAAGTGTAACTGTCTTAAGCTTTTTAGAGAAAAATAAAGGCCCTATGATGAACCCCAGAGGAGTTCTTTAGCTGGATGTATCCTAAACAAAAGCTGTTTGCTGCTTATTGTGCAACATTAATACACTGTTGACTGAAACAGCTGGAAGTACTTTGCAGATTAATGGTGAAAACAACCTTGTTTCTTTTGGGAAATCATATACCACCAAAGAGAAAGTCTCTCTAAAAAAAGAAAAGTTTTGGGAGCAACTGCGCAAAGGCTTTAGTTGTCTATTTGTATGTTTTTCATCTGGAATAAACAAAAGGTTTTAGATCTTCAAATTTCTATTTCTTGTTGACTTATTTTCCACCTGGAGAAGAGACAAGTCAGCTGAGGCATCCCAGACACCAGACCTTTGGGTCAATTGACAGGACACTGCAGTAGACAGTTTCATTGAGGGACCTTCAATAAAATTTATCTCCTCTCCATTCCTCTGCTGTCAGAGAGTCAAGGCTACATGCAGACAGATGCATAGCGGTAGTACACTTGCTCACTGTAAGAATATAAAAATCACTTTGATACCAAGTCCAAAAAGCCCTTTTCCTGTTTCAAATGCAGCTACAGAAGGTAGCTCACCACAAAGCAAAATAATCAGACTAGTTAAGATGCACATAATGGCAATTCATAAAACCTGTAACCCA